GTCTGCGATATTTAATTTTAGCGACTTAATTTTTTACATATTATTTTGTGTGCGACATTTAGGAATTCAACTTAGATATATCAAAGCGTATAAGTCGTCTAAAACATATCAAAAAAGTATTATTCATCAGAGATTGTTGTCATAATTATATCGCCAAACATTGAAGCAATTGTATTTGACAACATTTTTATATCATAATATCGCGTTCTAAAACAACAACACGAGGCGGTTATACGTTTCCGTACTTTTAATACCTCGCAATAATTTTTACGTTTAAACGCAAAAAATTATTGCGTTAAACGCAAAAATTATTGCGTTTAATCGCAATATTATTGCGTTAAACGCAAAAATTATTGCGATTAACGCAATAATTTTTTGCGCTTAAACGCAATAATATTTTTGCGCTTGATCGCAATAATTTTTGCGTTTAAACGCAAAAAATTATTGCGTTAAGCGCAAAAATTATTGCGATTAATCGCAATATTATTGCGTTAAACGCAAAAATTATTGCGATTAATCGCAATCTTTTGTGATTAAACACATAGTGTTTTGCGTTTAAACGCAATGATTATTGCGATTAAACGCAAAGTTTTGCTTTTCAACGCAATAATTAATGCGATTAAACACAATAATTATTGCGATTAAACGCAATAAAAACTATTTCTTTCTCTGAACTGGCCTCAACGGGATTCCGTATTTTCATACATAGCACCAAAAAATTTGTCTTACCCTATCGTATGCTCACAGAATAACTATAAAAAATTAATTTTATTGATCAACATATTTTTTTAGAGAAACTAATTTTATTTATGAGAGATAAATAAAACTCATTTTCTCTCAAATACATCTAGAGAAAAATCAAGGAAGACTCATTTTGTTTAGAAGAAAAATCAATGAATTAGATTACACCAAAAAATTGAATTAAAATTAAATGCACTAATGTGAAAAAATATTTTCAAAATCATTGGTATCAAAGTTCCTTTTTGGAGTAATCTTTCCTGTTGCCCGGGACTCAAAATCTTTGGCAAGTCTCCGTAATAGTTCCTCATTATTGGCCACTAAACTTGACAAAAATACATGTAAAAAAAGGAAAACAAGAAACGCACACTATTTTATTAATATTTATAAACACAATGAGATGATGTATTATTGAAACGCACAAATTAGTGTGCAATAATATCAACTTTCAACACAGACTCTGTTGACGATCATGTCAGAGGGATGATCAATCTCTAACCAGAGTTATTGTTCCACTTATACCGTTGTAGAGAAGCGAACGAAAACTCTGGGTAGAGATTGTGGGTTGATTACCCTGAAAGTATAAATAACCTAAAAGTTCTTGTCATACCGGCACTCGTTATTAACGAATTATTATATAATAACATAAACCCAGTCGTTTGCCTGTCTTTTATTGAAAAAACGGACATCTTTTTCTATTGGTCACGCATGCCATGTGTTGACTGTTATGAGTATCCTACTTTCTCTTTCGAAGATTCTCTTACAAGCAATTCGCCGATGCAAAAACTAAATAAAACCGGAAGTAAAAGTATTTTTTCTCTATATATGTCACAAGTCGCATGGAAGACCCTTAAGCCTCAATGGATAATTCCACACTGTATGTATCACCTTGACCTAGTTACATAGCCTTGACCTGATTCATATCTGTGCCTTGTAGGACCAGGTAATTTAGAACATCCTGTTGACATGTTGGTTGTAGATTTTTAGCATGTGACCACCCTTTTTGTCAGTTATTGATTGAATGGAACTGACAAATTTGAATTTTTCTTGTAAACAAAGTAAAATTTTTAGCTCACCTAAGCCGAAGGCTCAAGTGAGCTTTTCTGATCATATTTTGTCCGTCGTCTGTCCGTCTGTCTGTCCGTCTGTAAACTTTTTCACATTTTCTAATTCTTCTCAAGAACCACTCAGCCAAATTTGATTAAACTTGGTACAAAGCATCCTTGGGTAAAGGGAAATTTAAATTATTAAAATGAAGGACCAAGTCCCCTCACAAGGGGAGATAATCCAGAAAAGACAAAAATAGGGTGGGGTCATTAAAAAATCTTCTTCTCTTGAACCACTGGACCAGAAAAGCTGAAACTTATGTGGAAGCATCCTGGGGTAGTGTAAATTCTAAATTGTTCAAATCATGACCCCCGGGGGTAGGGCGGGGCCACAATGGGGAATCAAATTTTTACGTAGAAATATATAGGAAAAATCTTTGGAATTCTTCTTCTCAAGAATCAATGTGCCAGTAAAACTGAATCTTATGTGGAAGCGTTCTTTGGGTAGTGTAGATTCTAAATTGTTCAAATCATGACCCCTCGGGGTAGGGAGGGGCCAAAATGGGGAATCAAAGTTTTACATAGAAATATGTAGAAAAAATATTTAAAAATCTTCTTCTCATTGAACACTGGGCCAGAAAAGCTGAAACTTATGTGGAAGCACCCTGAGGTACTGTAGATTTCAAATTGTCTAAATTATGATCAGTGGGGTAGGATGGGGTCACATTAGGTATTAGAAGGGGAAATCTGGTAAAGAACAAAATGGTCAAAGCATCTCAGGTGAGCAATGTGGCCCGTGGGCCTCTTTTTTTTTTTTTTTTTTAAATCCGAAAAAAACAGAGTATTAGTCTCAAAACGGAAACATTCAGATGGTTACTCAATTAAAAAAAATATTAGACTGTAAATAATATTTTTAATTAGAAGGATGTAGAAATAGAATAATTGATATATTCAACATGTTATCACATCACACTCAGGGCATGGGGATTCCTACCTGATCTGTTATAACATGTCCTATACCGTAACAAATTAACACTCAGCTGGATGCTTTGGAATACCTGCACAGAAAATAATTTTTGTTTTGCTACAGAAATTGGGGGAAAAAATTAACATGTATCTTGTAGAATAGAAATCATATGTTTTAATACTGTAATCTCTCAAAAACACAATGTCAGTTAAAGACTGAACATCTTATTTGGTGTCTAAATATAAACCTCTGAGTTTTAATTTTTCAAAAGCAGAATTTGAGGTTTTTACAGTCTCTTTTTCTTTTTAAATATAAAAGTAAGGATTGCTTATTCTGAACTATTTCTAAATAATTTAATTTTAGTTGTAACACGTCATTTAATTTGGTAAAAGTTTTTATCCATTTCGTATATAACATAACTTGCCTATGTCACAATGGGTTGCGTCAAAAAAGTATTACTCCGCTTGACGTTATTTTTAGCTCTACTGGTCAGAGACATGAGTAATGCGTCTGGCGTCCGTCCGTCCGTCCGTCTGTCTGTTTGTCTCTCTGTAAACAATTTTTCAAAATGCTACTCCTCCAACAGTTTTGGTCTGATTTCAATATAACTTGGCACACAAGTAGACAACACTAAGATACTTAATTCTGTGTATCGGTTTTTGATTTCGATGGACGGTGTTGCCGTTGAAACTAAAAGTAGAAATTTCTGTGAAATTCTTTCTAAATGCTACTCCCCCTACAGTTTTAGTCTGATTTCAATATAACTTGGCACACAAGTAGACTACACTATGATACATAATTCTATTTATCGGTTCTTGATTCCAAAGAACGGTGTTGCCGTGGTTACTAAAAACAGAAATTTCTGTGAAATTCTTTCAAAATGCTACGTCTCCTACCTTTTTGGTCTGATTTCAATATAACTTGGTACACAAGTACATGTAGACTATACTAAGATACACAATTCTGCATATCGGTTTTTGACTTCAATGTACACTATTGCCTTGGTTTCTAAAAATAGAAATTTCTGTTAAATACTCTCAAAATACAATTTTAGTCTGATCATAATATAATGTGGCATGCAAGTATACTATACTAAGAACAAGATACTTAATCAAGGATCATTATTCTATTTATTGCTGTTGTAAAGTTTCAATTCCCAACTGCTTAAGTACTTTTCTCTTCCTTTGCTATAAGTACAAACAAGTAGAGCTTCAGTCTCAACAGAGACTTCTGGTTAAAATAATGCTCAATTTGAAGCCTTTTTCTGGAGGGAAAAATGTCTCATTGTCTACACTGAAATTTAATTATAAGGAATAAAGCTCATTTCAACTTATGTTATACGATATAACAAAACTTGGGGCAGTTTACGCTTTTTTATAAACCGCTTTGCGGTTATGTTATATCGTATAACATAAGTTGAAATAAGCTTCATTCCTTAAAAAAGAATGCAATGTAAAGTGGCTATTACATAAAACACATGTACCATATTTACAATTACAGAACTAAGGACCATTTTTATCTTGAGGACAAAATTATTCATTTATCTGCATTCTAGAAAAATGTTGGCATTGCTACCTTCTCAGAAAAAAGAAATGAGCTTTCACCAAGATAAGATTTAGTCTGTCATATGTCATTCTGTATCATTTTGTTTACGTGAAAGATTTATGCTTTGAGAGTATATGAGGAGAGAGTCTATAGGGAGATAATCACCTTCAAGATGAAATATGGTACATTTTATTTAAATATGGTGTCTTGTTGTAAAGTTATGTATAGGGAAGTTCTTGAATGTAATAAATATATTTATTTCAAAGTATCATCTTTGAAAATAAAAATGATGAAAATATCAAAATTCATAATCTTTCTATATTTTATGCTTTTTATTTTAAACATTAAATACATGTACATATTTATTGTAAAGAGATACTTGCATAAAGTAATAATATAAACACCTATTCAAATTTTAGATTATTAACAGAACTGAAAAAAGAAAATATAATTTGTAAAATGACTGTTTTTGATACACACAATTTACAATTTTCACAAAGAACAACTGATAAATAGAATCAAATTCAGATTGTCATCAGTATTTTAAATATTTGAGATGTTTCATGTAATAGTTAAGGGGGCCGACTATAGTTTCTATTGCGCAGTATTTCGCGCATCATAGTAAAATGAAAATTATTTACTGTTTTAATGCAACTTTTTTCGCTTAATTATCAAAATTAAACAAAATTAAGAAATTATAAGTATAAAAATGTAATAACAATTTGATATAACTAATTTTTTAACCGATTTTGCAATTGAAAGGTAGGTTGACGTCGTTGCAGTGTGTTTTTGACGTTATGATAATCTGTATCTCTTAAAGAAAGGGGTAATAAAAATATTATTAAAGAAAAAGTAATAAACATACGCTCTTGAAATTTAAAACATAGAAATTTTTGCATATCTCCAATATTTTTATTATATTTTCATGTGAATCCATTGTGTAAGTCATATATTGTAATACTTGATAAAAATAGTAAAATTTTCTAAAATTTTGCATTTTGAGATGCCCCCTCTGGTAACAAGACGGTAGAAATTTGTGTTTCTTACATATATTGTATAATATAGCATTACTCATCAAATATTATAGTTTGAACAAAATGCCTATTGTAGTATTTGTATAATTTGCTTTAAAGTGCTAAAAATTAGCATTTTCCTATATAATGCTATAGTAAATGTACCTGTATTTTGAGACGGTCCCTCAAAATTACTTGGACGGTAGATTTCCCCCAAACTTTGCATGAACACTGAAGTTAATGCAAGTTATATTTGGAATAAAAATGAAGAGTTTCGCTATTGTAGTTTTCACACAATAAAACTATAGTCGGCCCCCTTAAAAGATAGACATTAACAAAGGTCTTCTGTTATTTCATGACCATAGACCTTATCTTGTTTAAGAGCATCCACCACCAAGAATTGATTCCTATTAACGCTTTTTTGCAAGACATCTTCATGTGACTCATTCAGGAGTTTATAGATAATGTTATAATTCTGATAATTTTGGTAGTTTATATTTTATTATATGGCATCTGATGGAGTGAATATTTAGGAAAAAGAGCAGTCCGGAGGTTCCCTATCACCTGTTTCTGAATCACTGATATGGTAATTCAGATAATATGGAAGAATGAGAAGAAATATACAAATTATAAATTCAAAAATAAATTACATGGGCTTCTAAAATGTAGATTATCTTTCACTAATTTGGTGAGCTGTGACAAACTTCTTGTATTCTAATTTCTGTAGCTGTTTGAATTCCGTTGTGCGATTCTTGTCCGAGAGATTGTTGGTATGAGTATAGAGCAGCCTGGAGGTTCCCTGTCACCTGTTGACAGATCCCCAGAATCTGCCACGATATGTCTCTGTAATCTGAATTTATAAGCTGTCCCTGATCATAGTGAACTAGGGTCTGTAGATCATCTAGAGCTGTTTGTGCTCTCATTGTGTGTATGTATCTGTAGCAAAAGATCTCGAGCATGTATAACATTATAAATTGTGGGACATATAATGAAGGCCTGTAGTTCTGTAGACTAGACATTTGTTCTGATATCAATTCACTGATATAATGGATTCCATTGTTAAGTGTGATATCCCATGCTACAGCCTGTCTCATTTTTGCAGACCGGGACTGTCCCCCTACAGCCCTAGTATACATCTCCGTATCTACAAACATGAACATCACATATGGCTGAGCAAACTTGACCTTGATCATCTCTATAATAGATAAAGCTTCCATGTATCTACGTGTCTTGTAATAATACATGGCTATGTATATCATGTCAGTAATACAACCAAACTTGGCTGCTAATTTCAACATGTGACAGGACATTTTGTCAACTCTGTATTTCAGTTTGTTTTTATGTGTGTAAGTTTCTATGTGTAATATATAAGGAATATTCTGAAGAACAGTAGCTGTAAGTGTCTGTAGCATCAGGACTTGATACTGTGTTAGGAGGGGTGAGTCTATCAATAGTTCTATTGTATGTAGATATTTCATATAGGTTTCTAGGTTTGATGAGGAAAGTGTGTCAAATTTGTATATCTCTTGAAACAGCTCTGTATCAAACTTGGTCTCAGAAATCAGAGTATGTTCATCTGTACAGATGGAGAGGTGGGGGTTGAGAAGGACATTTATAATACAGGACCTAATGGAGGAACTGTGTAGCAGAAATGTTAAACCCTTCTCATATAATCCATGCAATCTTATAAATAGATGATGCTGGGTTTCACCATTGACTTTACTCAGAAACATGTTATTTTGGGGAATGAAAAAGTTGGGACAGACCCCCTCATACACCCACTTAAGGATTTGTTTAAAACAAACCCAGAAAAATCCCAGGAGATTTTGTGGACACCAGTGTTGTAATGTATTCTGTTGAATCGCCCAAAAAACTGCTGTCTTCATGTGATAGGAACACAGTAATTTATCATGATCATCACTTAACCGATAATGAATTATTTCTCTTAAAAACAATTTAAGCAAGCCATACGTTAAGAATTGACAGTGATTCATAGCACACACAAGTCTATGTTCTGCAAAAGAGAAAGAAATTCTCCATTCTTGGTCTTCAAGACGTCCTAGTTTATGTCCAATTGCTACAAAGTGACATCCATTTTTCACTATATCATCAACAATATGAGACTGGGGCCATGAGTGACATCTGTCTATCCACGAGGAGGCAGATGGAGGCCAAAAGTCACTAACAAAACAGTGGGCGAAATCATATTCTGCTCCCCCTGAAAGAACTCCACTGACACATGGTCCATGAGGAATTGAGTCAGGTAAAAATGCAGAACATATAATCTTTCTGTATTCTGAACTGGAGACATAAAGCCTGTTATTAACTCTTACACAAGCTCTCTGGACACTCCTGTTCTTGCTTGGTGACAGTAAATATAACAAAGTGAATCCTGGTGGACTATCAGAACAGTCACAGAGGATCAGTGATTGTCTGTGTGTGTTGTAATACTGAGACTGAGACAATTCCCAGATCACACGGTGATCATTTGGCCAGTACATAAAGTCTACATCTGATCCTTCCAGTCTGAACCCTTCTCTGTAGCTTCCACTCACCATCACACTAACCTCATCTCTTGTTCTCCTTTGATTTTCCACCATATCCCTGATGTCCACCACATCTCTTCTCATGGCCACAAGTTGTGAAGTTCCAAGTTTATCACAAAGTCCCATGAACGCCGACTCGGACATATGTTGGAGGGTTGTCTTTCTATTGATGATTATTTTAAAAGGAGAATTTAAAATATCTTGATGAAAATGATATACATGTATGCCATTTAGTTAACAATTCAATGCTTACATAATTTTTATAAGATGATATTATTATTATTACTTTTACTTTTCAAGAAAATTCACTTGTCTAAAACTGTTTTCCCTGTAGCATCATTATTAATTGTTCTCAGCATATCATTAAAACAAAGAACGAAATAGAAAAAATAACAAAGAATTAGTGTGCTACATGTATATGAAGCATGTGACATATATGTGATTTAAAATTGAAGTAATACACAAAAATTAGATAAAACTCACACTGTTATAAAGGAATCCATTTTTACAGGTAAGATATGAAAATTACCTGTGCTATAAATAGAGAAGAAAAATCCCTTTAAATCTTCTTTCGTTTTATATTTACCATTTGTGTTCTTTGAGATCTATAAAATTATAAAATGGAAGCTAAAAAGGAAAGATAAATATAACAGTCTGCTACTAAAAATGACATTGGACCCCTCTAGGAAACAAGGACACTTTAAGAAAATCTGCTCGACCCCCCCCCCCCCCCAAAATACTACTGTTAACTATAGTTTACAAATGTTAACTATAATTAACCATAGTAAATCAAAGTTTACATTTCAGTAAGTCAAAGTATTCTTACTATGAATTTTGAAATAATTTTTTTTTAAACTTTTAACCATTTCTTGTATATTAAAATATGTTTTCAAAAATAACATAATTGATATGCAATTTAAGAAAAATTGAGGCTCTGGGAAGAGTTCTGGAGTACAGTTGTGTGATAGTATTGATTTTATATTGATTTTAATTTATTGTATTTTTCTTTCAGATGCCACTGAAAGTTATAAAATAACTTTCAATAATAAACTTGATTTAAAATAAATATGTTTTATTTAAACATTAAACAAGTAAATAAATTTGTAACAACTTCATATAATTAAAGTCTAGAAATCTCTAGAGCCCTAAACTTAAAACTTAACTTTTAACCTTGAATAAATACATAAGTAAAAATAGCCATTGGTCAATATTTCCCGCCAAAACCTTTGACCCCCTTTGTCCAGTGTGTCCAGCTAATTACTAGCCAAGGAGCAGTCAATGTGTATAGTTGTGTATTTGTATTTTTGGAGAAATCTTTAAAACCACTGACAGTAAGTTGACTTTTTGACATTCCTATTTCATATTAATATTTTCCTATTAATAACTGAATGAAAGAGGCATATGAGAGAATTTATTAAATTATATAAGTTTGTCAAAAGCTGATAAACTAGTTGATTTTAAACTTTGTAATAAATGTATTTTATGACACAAAGAATATAACATATAGTGTATGGATGTTATTTATAAATTGTAGATATTGATAATCCGTAAGCCATACACACAATCATGTATTAGAGAGGGATTCATACCCATAGTCTGGTATGTTGCTATATGTACATAAAGCAAGTATATTATTGTAAATAGTCATTATATCCACTATCATGAAGTGAATAAGAGAAATATCATTTGTATATTTAAAGTCAAGAGGTATAACTCATTGATATATGTGTCAATATTTATTATTTTATTACCTTATTAAATATATAGTAATTATTTGATTTTATGACGACAAAAGATTCTGCTGCTATATGTGATTTCAAATTAAGTAAATGTACTTTATATTGTTTTGTAGAATCTTCTATATGATATGCTACTGTAATAAACATCATCACAGTGAATAAGCATCTTGTGTTACTTGCTGCTCCCGCTACAAAATTTGGCGCCCAACGTGGGGCACTGATGTTGATGGCACCACCTACAGGAGCCACCTCCAGCCCCTCATAGATGTTACAGTCAGTGGTGGATCCAAGCCTTCACTCTGCATTTGAACAGCTGTTGTGTTTTGTCACAGACAATCAACATCCAAGGTAACACACCTGTGTCACACCTGACTGAGTTTTGTTCAGCAGAAACTGTACCTGTGTAAATACCTGTGTTACAAACAATCCGGAAAATTATTTTCCGTGCGTCCAGATTTGTGCTAAAACTTTCCGGAAATTTCCTTTCCGTTCATCCAGACTTTAACATTACCTGTGTAATTCCATATCCGGTTTGAGTCTGCACTTGTTTTCCACACGTGGACTTGTGAATTTTCAAGACTTCTAGACTTATAAAAGCGTAAATTATTTGATAATTTTCTTATTTCTTATTTGAATATTGCTTGTGTAATGTAAGTCATGTAATTTATCTGTATTTTTGACTTAATTGAGTACTTCAGTGTTTCAAATACTGTTTGTTTATATACACAGTTTGTTGATCAGCTGTTTCACTTTCAGTGTTTGCTGTAGTGTTTACATTTTGAAATTTTTCTTTATTCATAAACCTTGAGGTAAATTTGAGTATATAGGCCTACAACTGCAATTACAATGTTTTGATTTTCCTATTCTAGTATCAAACTTGTTGCTGAAGTTTATATTTTGAATTTTCAGAGGTAAATTGACACATTTGAATTTTGAGTTGTTTACAAAATGTAATTCATAATTGTAACAGCTTTGACAGTACATATTATTGAAAGAGTTCTGGTGTGGATGGAGTGAAATATTTCTTTATTTACAGGATCTGCTTAATACTTATTCCCTTTCCTGTTGTTTACATTCTGACATTTTACAACTGACCCATTCAGTGAATGTGACATTTTGAAATAGAGTTTGTTTGTGGTAAGTTGGTAAGTGGTTGTTAGGATACATTGTCCATTGTCCTTGCCCTTTTCCCTTCACCTTAAAGTTAGATAACCATGTCTTAAATAGGTAAATTTAAAATTTGAAAATAAATACTGAGAGTAAATAGGCATAATATAAAGTGTGAGAATTAAATTATAAGGTATTATTTAATCAAGGGTACAAATTATAAAGTTTAGATAAATAGAATTTTTATTTTCAGGAATTACATCGTGCGTTTTCTTTGAATTATTTTCGTGCGTTTTCTTTCATACTTAGTGGAGCGGTTTCTTCATACATTTCAAACATTTGTTTTATTTCTTTTCTTTTTGCATTGCTTTGCGGCAGCTTGCGCTATAGCATTTATGCTTTGCATTTATTGCGCAGCGTGCTTGAGCTTGCTTGCTTGAATTATTTCTTTGCAGCCAGTGTTGTTTACACAACATTATCATTTGCTTGCATAAAATCATTTGTGTGAAACATATTGAATTCTTACAATGTCTGACAAAAAGACAGGTGATGAAGTTCCGAATCTTGAATTTCAAGAAAATGTTGAAGAAGATATTCAAGAAAATGTTGAAGAAAATATTCCAGAAACAACAGCTGGTGAATTGTCCACAGCAGAAAAAGAGAAAGTCATTAAGTACCTTCAAGATCATGAGTACAAAGTCTTTACAAATGAAGCTTTTAACACTTTTGTTGAACAGCATAAGACTGTGAAGAAAGAGATACCCAGTCCGTCTCCTTTCTATTTACCAACATTTACGGCACCCATTACTCCAACAAGTTATAAGGACCTTAAACCACCATCATTTCAATCTTCAATGGCGACTCACATTCCAAAGTTATCGACATTTTCGGGAGATCCAGGCAGATCAAGTGATGTGCCATATGAAGTGTGGAAGTATGACTATGAGGTAGAATGTCTTTCACGTGAAGGATATCCTGAGAGTGTGGTCCTTCAAGCTATTAGAAGGTCATTAAGAGGTCAAGCGAGTCAAATTCCTATGAGATTGGGTCCAGATGCAACACTTAGCCAAGTCTTGGAGAAAATGGAGAGCATCCATGGAACTGTGGAGAAAGGTGAATCATTGTTGACTCAGTTTTACAGCGCGACTCAGAAACCAGATGAAAACACCACGACATGGGGATGTCGTCTTGAGGAACTTTTAAGTAGAGCAGTTGACAAAGGAAAAGTTCACCATCAAGATGTTGATGACATGTTGAAAACCAAATTCTGGTCAGGATTACGACAAGACTTCAAAGACATATCGGGATATCTGTATGATAAATGTGAAACATTTGATGAACTCAGAAAAGAGATCAGACTTATTGAGAAAGAACACCCTACAGATAAGAAGAAACCAAACATGAATATCACAACGAAATCATCAGATTTAACATCTTCCAGTGAAATATCAGAATTGAAAGCGATGATTAAGAAACTACCTACCAAGGTCGACGCATTAGAGAATAAGAAAATTCCACAAGAGGATACCCAACAATTCTATCAAAGAAGAACTGATCAACCACCATCAACCTGGTTCAGCAGAGGAAGATCAAGAGTCAGATCATCTTATCCAAACAGAATAGGTATGAGAGGAATGGGTAGACAATCATCTTATCATGATGAGCCTATATGCAGAAGGTGTGGACAATCAGGACATTTAGCCTTTGGATGCCGAGTGAATCTACAAAGAACTGATTTAAACAACGGCAGGCCAGTGTTAGAGGGCAAACACTAGGCCTAAACTGTTTCAGTCGCCCTATAAACAAGACATTAGCACTAATAGGAGAAGCAACAGAAGTGAACATCAATGTAGAGGAAATTGAATGTAAAGCGTTATTGGATACTGGTTCTACTGTATCTACAGTATGCGACTCTTTCTATAGGAACAACTTAAGTCACCTAGAATTACATCCAGTCACAAATATTCTTAATGTGGAGTGCGCAGATGGTAAATGTTTACCTTATTCAGGATACATAGAAGTGAGCATTACTTCCCTTGGCATACCTTCACTTGAACAGCCATGCCCATGCCTACTTCTAGTCGTCCCAGAGAATAACTACAATCAAGAAGTTCCTATTCTTCTCGGCACTAATATTTTGCAGCATGTACTTAATGATTTGCAGGAAACATTTGGTAGTAGATGCTTGCAAGAAAGACTTACATTTACCATGGTACCTAACTTTAAGATCATTGCTACTCCGAGAAAAGGAATTACAGAGGAACAGTAACAGACTCGGCATTGTGAAATCGGTACACAAGAACAGTGTTACTATTAAACCAAATTCTTTGGTCACATTACAAGGTTATGTTGACAAAGCAGTACCTTATCATGCAACTTGTGCACTTTTACAAGCAACACCAAGGTCTAGAATTCCTGTGGACTTAGACATTGTACCATCTGTAGTTAACTACCAATACCCATGTGACAAACTGATTCCCGTACAAATTGACAATGTTACAACAAGGACAGTCACCATATCTCCAAAGGCCATATTGTGTGAATTACATCCTGTCAACATAGAAGAAATCACACAATCTAAGGGAGACAACTCTAACAACAACTTGAAGTTACTGCACATAGATGAGAGTTCAACAACATCAGAGAGAAAAGTCCTA